CAACCCGGACGGCTTCCCCACCAAGCGCCAACGCATCTCCCATTACCGGAAGCCCTCCGAACAAACCACCTACCGCTCACCGGTAGAGAACAACAGCCAGCGGCAGCGGCGGCTCGTCACCGACTCGCGGGATTGTAGGAACGGCTCGCCGCAGACGGGCAAGACGGACAGCGGGTACGCGAACGGGGCCCCGGTGTCGCCGGTGCCAGTGGACAGCAGTTCGGAGTTCCCGGATTACTTAACGTAAGAAACACGCAAATTTGGTTATTGAAATGATGTAACAGGTTATCTATGATTGCAGGAAGTACACCAGGATCAAGGATGCCGAGCAGAGGCGGAGGTTCGAAGCCGATTTCAATGCCGACTTCGCCGAATACAAGGACTTGTACGAAATTGTGGACAAGGTTTCGAGGAGGTTTGTCAGTTTTGAATCGATGCTTAAGCAAGAAGACGCTTCTAGTCTCAGGTTTAATGTAAGTCGAATTTTATATTCTCTAATTCTAGTGATTTCGATATTCAAATTAGAATTTTTAAACATTGAGCATAGTTCGTTTAACTCTAGAACTTTTAGATTTTCGGCAAAATCCGATCAATTTTAAATATTTATGTTTGGCATAAGAAATATGAATTTTACATGCGTTATCGAATGGATAAATTTTCCCATAATTGTAAAATTATGTGTCTAGGAATTACATATTTTATTGTGGTTACATTTCGTTTTGTCGTTGTTTCAGGACCTAAAAATGCAAATCGTTAGGGAATACAATGAAAACAAGAAAGATCTGGAGCACCAGAAATTAAAGCGGAGGTTTCACTATCTCCACGACAAGCTGTCGCACATAAAACGGCTGGTATTGGAGTACGATCAGGACTTGTCAAATAACCGGTACTGACCCTGGGACGTGGACCGTAGGCCTCAAGCCCCGGCACATTGCAATGGACTCCTGCCATCGGACGCTCAATACTAACATCACGAACCACAATACAAGTTTCCCCCTAAAATAGAAGAAAAAAACTGTCTAGTGTTTTGTATTCGTCTTAAGGAACAAGAGAGGAATTAAGTAACTCTTTTCGTAGATTGTCGTTGAAAATATTGTAATTATTGCTTATTGGTAATTCGTTATTTATTAATTTTGATGTCAAGTGCATTACTTAGATTTGTATAGGTTAATTTGTTTATTGTAATATACGTCTTGATACAATCACTCTTTCTTTGAACCCAACAACAAACGGATGCAGAAAAGATTTCTAGCTAAAATTTGATGGTTTCGTTGCTCTTTCCGACCCCGTTGGGTGTCTGGTTGGCTTAAAACTACAAGAAAACGCTTCAAAAATGACGTTTCTGAAGAATTTTAACAATTTTCTTGTATCTACGAACGCCAGAATGCTTAAAACTGCCCCAAACGTCTCCTTTTCGTAATTTGAGACGATTCTGCAAAAAATGTTGAAATATAGTTAAGATTTAATAAAAATAAAAAAAAATACGATTTCTATCTAAAATTTGATGGTTTCGTTGCATTTTCCGAACCTGTAGGGTGTAAAGATTTTTCGGCTTTTAAGTTATTTGAATTTAAAATTTATTATTTGTTTTTTTTAAATTCCAGTTTTTCAAATTTTCTTCTTTTTTTTTAATTTCTCAGTTTTTAAACACTTTAATTTTGGAAGATGTTCAATGTAGATTTCCCGGTTCTTTTTTTCAATTATCAGTTTTTCAACTTTTCGTTTTCTTAAAATTTGATATTTTTTGATATTTCAATTTTTCGGTTTTTCAATTTTTCGCTTTTTCTATTTATTAAATTTTAGATTTTTTGATTTCTCTTTTTTTTTAATCTGACATTTTTCGAGTTTTCGGACTTTCCGTTTCACGTCTCGATTTTTCAATATTTAGTATACTAAGTGCAAAAAAAATCCGAACACTTGGATAGAATAATAATTTTTCGAAAATCTTTTGGGCTTACAGTCTACTATTTTCTACTAGTAAATGATCAAAAATTCAAATGGAAATGTTAACACCTAAGCTACTAATGGGTTGGAGCACCCCTGTTATTGAGGCATTCGTTTACACGCCTTGGCATGGACCTAATGAGTCGATCAATGTCATCCTGATTTAATTCATCTCAAGCAGCTTGTACTTCACGCTTCAGGTCGTTTAAAGTTTGTGATGGTAGTAGAAGATGAGTTTAAACGTCGTCCCATCATATCCCATACATGCTCAATGGGCGAGAGGTCAGCAGATCTAGGAGGCCATGTGTTGTAGACTTTCGGTCTCTTAGAGCTAACGAACGCAGACGACGATCTTGGCGCTCAGTGGTAGCTCTTGGTCACCCGGATCCTTCAGCTCTGTGTCCTCTACCGTCTTGACTCCACGCCTGCCAACATTCTGTCACTGTAGACACAGTTCTGTTAACACGAAGTGCAATTTCTCTAAAGGACAATCTTGCTTCACGCATGCCTACTATTCGACCCCTATCAAAATCACTTAATTGTGAATACTGAAGACGTTTTCGCACTGGGGGCATGTTAATGGCTTTTTAAGGAATTTGAATAGTCGAAAGCGAATACCGAAAAACGTCAAAATTTGGCTGAACAGCCCCAGCTTGTTAGATCTCAATTTAGGGTAACAACAATTAAAAAGACGTACAAATTCTTCAAATTGTCTTCATATGTTCATCATTTCTTACTTATACAATAACCAATTCGTGTATAAAATTTCATTTGAAAATATCGACGTTTTCAAGGTGTTCGAATTTTTTTTGCACTTTGTATAGTTTTTGGTTTCCCGATTTTTCAATTTTTCGATATTTTAATTCATTACTTTTTTTTTATTTTAGATTTTTCAGTTTCCCGTTTTTTTTATTATTCAATTTTTCGTTTTTTTTTTCTTAAATTCAGATTATCTTTTCAAGTTTGGATTTTATTATTTTTTTCTTTTTTCTAACTTCAATTTTGAAATATTTCGAATTTTTCATTTCTCGACGTCTCACTTTACCAATATTTCAAACTGTCATCTCAAAATTTTTTTCAGCTTCTCAATTTTTATTTTTGATTTTGATTTTCCCCATTATTTAATTTTCATTTTCTCGATTTTATATCACCATTTTCGTTCATTAAATTTTTCAAATTTTCATGTTCGATTTTTATTCCTGGATTTTTGAATTTTGTTATTTTTGGACTTTCAGTTATTTAGATTTTTCAATTTTTCGTTGCAGATGTTTTAAAGTCATGATAAACATGATATATTTTTAATTAAAATATATTTGCTTTTATTCCCTCTAAAAAATTTATGACGTCACCTAAAATTTTAGAAGAAATCCTGTCTTAAATGTATAAAATATGTGATGTTATGAGTTTTTATGCTTGCGATTTATCACTGCATTAATATTTTTTAGATTTGGTTATACAGGGTGTCTCAAAAAAGTTAATGACTGAGTGAAATGTGAAGATATAATACAGGTTGTCATTACCAATTAATAGACGAAATTGTGTGACGGAAATAAATACAAATATACATTCAATTAAAATAAAAAAGGATTTCTCCACATACCTTTTTGCCTTCGGTGTTCATAGCATTTAAAAGTTCATTTTGGACAGTTTTAGGCATTCCTTTAAAAACCGTTGCTTCTTTCAAATGATCTGATAAAGTCGAATTCAGCCATAAAATCAATCAGACCTCGAAATATACCTGGACTTTGTGATTCCCTACTTTCGTCATGTCCACGTAAAGCAAATTCAAACACTCCACAAAATTTTATGCACATTATCAATCGGCGTAATATATGGCGAGTTTTGTCGACCCTTGCATTATGTGCACGAATATTATTAACATAAGCGGTGTGTAGTTGTTTCCGAATGTCTGTATTACCGAGAAGATTATCTAAGAATATTTATCATACGTGTTTGCGCAGAAGGAAAATTAAAACCCGCGATAGTAACTTAATCCTCCAGAGCAGTTGTATCAGGCGCATAACAAGCGGCTACGACGTGTAGTTTCCATGGCAACGGTGTAAACAAAACATCTAAATCAGTCATGATTTAGATGTCCATTCGGTCTCTGTGCCGGGCTTTTATCAGCATTTCATCAGAAATAACATATCAAATATCCAAGACACATCTTTAGATGCAAGTGGAAGTAAGTTTTGATACATTTTATACAAGTGGAGCGAGATAAAAAAATTAGTTTTGATGACACAAATTTCCGGATAATTTTTTAAATATTGTGCCCAGTGTGTTTGTAAACGTTGTAATTTTGGGGGGGCAGGTGCTCTTATGCCCCCCGGCACCAGCCGCCCCTGGTTTGATGTGCGCATTGAATGCAATTTCCTAATGCAGGACGATCAGCAATTTGTCCATTGGTTCACAAAATTCTTAATTGGAGCCATGCAGCCCGCTAATAGTAGGTATTAACAGAAACAAGTGCACCAAGCACGTCGTTCTTGTCTCCAGCATCAAGCTACAGTGCTGAGAGTTTTGAAGAAGTGCTCATGCTGGATGATGAAGAACCAAGTGGAGCTTCTATAAGTAGCCTGTCTCAATTCGAGATCCCGGCCAAGAACAAACACCCACACCATTTGGAAAAAAACGTTCCATTCCATCAATAAGGTAACAGAATTTAATTTTTCTATTTCTGTAATCTATTAAATAAATACATATTTACAGTTCAAATATTTCACACAAAAAACAAAAATTAGAAGAAAAATTTGCCAGCACTTTGGATCTTGTAAGTAAAAATTTCGGCAACGAAAATTTGTCAGACCAATATATATATTCTTTTTGTGCTCATATAGAGCAGGAAATGTTCAAAATGCCCAGCGACACAATGGAGGAATTCAAAGATGGAGTAATGGAGTTACTTCTAAAGACAAGGAGACAATTACGTGAGAGTAAAAACAGCTGGCTGAAGTTCATTTTTTGTTTTTAGTTTAGTTTTGGTAAGGTTAGGTATGCATTGAAATAAATAAAAAATAGTATATGCTGCATTATTATTTAATGAATGTTTAGAATTACATTTTCTGAATAGCTTCATTCTGATATGGTACTGAGCCAATATGAGAATTAAAATAATCTTTAATAAATTCTCGATATTCAGATGCACTTTGTTTAGCGTTTCTTGCGCCGAGTCTTCTCTGGTCTGGTGCTCTGCGCAAGGAACAATTTTGTGACACTTCGTTGCGCCATTGTCCAGGTATAACTTGCCCATCTATTTCCTTATCAACAAAATTTAAGGGCACATAGCGGTGCTGACTGGCAGGCAGGTTATTCTCATTTTGTTTGATAAAATTATGGAGGCAGATAGCAGCTTGCACTAATTTGTCAACATTTTCTGGATCCTTAAAAACCACTATATGAAAGATTCGAAACTTAGCAGCTAAAATTCCGAAGGCATTTTCTATACATCTTCGACCACGTGAAATTCGGTAGTTATAAATTCACTCTTCTACTGGTCGATTCTTACCTCCATATGGACGCATCAGATTTTCTTGCAAAGGGAAGGCTTCATCACCAATGAAATAATGTGGAGTTTTTTTTGAGGTGCCCGGAAATGCTGCATCATCAGGAATATTCAGCAGATTATTGTTTAATTTGTCTCCAAACGATGACAACCTCTATCACTTTGGCATCCATATGCCCTGATATCAACGTAGGTAAATCGATAGTGGGCATCACACACGGCAAAAAGTACAATGCTAAAGGTCTTTTTGTAATTAAAATATAACGTCCCACTTTTCTGTGGGGCTCTCATTACAATATGCTTTCCATCTATTGCACCCAAACAATTTGGAATATTCCATTCAGAAAAATACTCTTCTGCAATCCTTTCCCACTCATCTTTGTTAGGTTCTTTTAAAACAACTGGGTGTAAAATTTTCCAGATAACTGTATTTGTTTCATTAATTATATTGCACACTGTGGATTTTCCCATTCGATACGAGAATGCCAGTGTTGGAATACTATCCCCAGCAGCTAAATGTCTGCAATTATTAATAATATGTTATTATGTGGATTTTTATGCATACTCATTGTATTTACCTTAGAGTTAATATTAGTCGGGCTCCTGGAGTTATAGGTTCTCTGAAACTTGTTTTCTGTAGAGAAGGCCCTACCAGCTTTAGCAAACAATCGAACTGCTCTACAGTTAATCTTGTGTAATTAAAAAACATCTCCACATCATTAAGACGCATTTCTTGCACCAAGTTTTCGTAATCGCCTTGTTCTTTTCTTCTTTCATTGATGGGCCTAACCCACCATCGCCTTCTCTTTTCCTTGTGTAATAATAAATAATATCCACACAACATTGTGCGTAGAGCAGCACTTCTGATTTGCCTCCGTTTTAATATTAGAGACATTATTATTATGTCCGATTATAGTAACCTGCACAACACTTAACAAATATGAACGAAAGACGAAACGCTTCTTTTTAAGGTTATGAACCGTCGTCTGCGTTTAGATGAACTAATAACAGCAATGACGCTTTACCGGCTTACTTCAAATTAGTCGCCAAATTATAACGCGAAAGCTTAATATTAGACCTTATTACAAGATTCTGCGTTAAGTGCTAAGTATAGTTGCTAATTTGGTTGGTTGTGGATGATCACATTGTTGTGAAAGCCTACAAGGTTCTACGTCTAAGTGTAACTACTAATTGTAAGTGCTAATTTGGACATTGTGAATGAAGCTTTACATATGTACCTGTGTATCAAGTGATATTTTTCTAAATAAGTGTACATATATTTTTTGTTGACTTAAATTAGATTTTAGATTAATCCATATGCTATGAACTTGCAAATTAATTGTAAATGTTATAAAAAAAATTATTTTTGACTCTTGCATACATATTATGTACCTGTGCATCAAGGTGATATTTTTGTAAATAAATGTATGTTATTTCTTCATTGGCTTAGATTGTAAATAAATACATATATGTACTTGTGAATTAATTATAAATGTTATACAAAAAAGTATAATTTGGACATGCGCATAACTTATTTGTGGCATACTAATTCTTTTAAATAAAAATAGTTTTTTTTTTGTGGTGAAGTACATTCTTGTATATTATTGCACAGTCTGGACGGTGCCGCCCATTAGTCTGAATCCGTCTTCCTGCGTAACGGGGAGAGAGAAAAAAAAAACCCTTTTTGTCACCTTGACCACTGGGGTTTCCCAGTGGTCAAGGTGACAAAAATTAATTAAGTCGGTACGTTCAGGGCTGTAGGTAAGTTGTTTAACTTGCCTACAGCCCTGAACGTACCGACTTAATCCCTTGTAGAAACGTCCCCTTTATTGACTTTATACCCATTTTGGTTTTATCCTCGTATTTCTAAATTTCTTATCGCATTTGATCTTATTTTACTGCTTTAATGCCTTTTCGTTTGAGTTTAGAACTCAAATTTTGTGTTATTTTAGGTTTTACCAAGTTTTACTAAAAAAAAGTCTAAATAATGGTATTTCCCTTTTTAGTGAAATATGATCCGTTTTGTCACAAATTTTAAATATTTATGTTTACGGTAAGAAATATCATGAGTTCGCCTAACCGCTTGATGTCATTATCGCTAAAGAAGTACTCAAACCTCATTTGACATACACCTGTTAAAACTTTTATGACTTAGGCGGCTTAAGCCAAAGCACCCTTATATAGTGAACCAAGAGTTATAAGGTTATATGGCCATCATAAAATCATCCCATTGTGTCGAAGTTAAGTTGTTTACAATAGGAAAGGTTTTAGGGTCGTAAATAACGTGCCACTGCAGCTCGACCGGCTCTTCTGGTTTCGTTCAGGGGCGGCTTTCGCTAAATATGAAAATCCACCACTCCACTATTTCTTTACTACCTGCAGCCGCTGAGGGTTCCGAAATAACCACTCGCTTTGAAAGCCGGCCCTGCTAAATATGAGCAAGGGGGTATTTATTTGCGGTGAACTACTTTTATGATGGCCATATAACCTTATAGCTTTTGGTTCACTATAAGACAAACTGGCTATTATAAGCTTTGTGGACCCGAACCGCAAGATTATTACTGTCCATTGTTGGTATAATGTAGCTGTGAACTGAGTTAAGTATTACAGGTTTGTGTATACTTAGCATCCAAAATTTATTATCAATGTTTAGAAATTCTAAAGTGAATACCGAAAGTAACTTGAATTCTTTAATTTTTCGGTTTGCAGTTTTTCGAGTTTCCAAGTATAAATTTTTCAATTTTCTACGTTTTTAATTTTTCGATTTGCATTTCTCGTTTCCAATTTTTTCGGTTTTTCAATGTTTTGATTTTATATTTCTTTTGTTTATAGTTGTGAAATTTTTCAATTATTGGATTTTAAAGCTTTAATTTTTTCGATTCTATAATTCTTCGATTTTATAATTTTTGGGTTTTCTAATTTTTCGATTTTTCAAATTTGTGAATCTAAGAAATGGAAAAACAATGAGATTAAAAAATCAAAAATGAAAAATGTAAAGAAATCAGGAACTTGAAAAAGTGCAGAAACGAAAAATTGACAAATCTAAATAACTAAAAGTCCAAAAATAGCAAAATTAAAAAATCCAGGAATAAAAATCGAACATGAAAATTTGAAAAATTTAATAAACGAAAATGGTGATATATAAAATAAAATAAATTAAATAATGGGAAAAATCAAAATCAAAAATAAAAATTGAGAAGCTGAAAAAAATTTTGAGATGACAGTTTGAAATATTGGTAAATTGAGATGTCGAGAAATGGAAAATTCGAAATATGTATTTCAAAATTGAAGTAAGAAAAAAGAAAAAAATAATAAAATCCGAAAATCTGAATAATCAAAAAAGCGGAAAACTGAAAAATCTAACATTAAAAAAAAATGATGAATTAAAACATCGAAAAATTGAAAAATCGGGAAACCAAAAAATGTTAAATATTGAAAAATCGAGACGTGAAATGGAAAATCCGAAAACTCGAAAAACGTCAAATTAAAAAAAAAGAGAAACCAAAAAATCTAAAATTAAAAAAAATGAGAAAGCGAAAAATCGAAAAATTGAAATATCAAAAAATATCAAATTTTAAGAAAACGAAAAGTTGAAAAACTGATAATTCAAAAAAAAGAACCGGGAAATCTACATTGAACATTTTACAAAATTAAAGTGATGAAAAACTAAGAAATTAAAAAAAAGAAGAAAATTTGAAAAACTGGAATATAAAAAAAACAAATAAAAAAAATTTAAAATTCAAACTTAAAAACCGAAAAATCTTTACACGCTACGGGTTCGGAAAGTGCAACGAAACCATCAAATTTTAGATAGAAATCGTATTTTTTTTTTTATTTTTATTAAATCTGAACTATATTTCAACATTTTTTTATTATTCTGAGCGACGAAACACACTTAGAGCATGCAGAATCGTCTCAAATTACGAAAAGGAGACGTTTGGGGCAGTTTTAAGCATTCTGGCGTTCGTAGATACAAGAAAATTGTTAAAATTCGTCAGAAACGTCATTTTTGAAGCGTTTGTTTGTAGTTTTAAGCCAACCAGACACCCAACGGTCTCGGAAAGAGCAACGAAATCATCAAATTTTAGCTAGAAATCTTTTCTGCATCCATCTGTTGTTGGGTTCAAAGAAAGAGTGATTGTATCAAGACGTATATTACAATAAACAAATTAACCTATACAAATCTAAGTAATGCACTTGACATAAAAATTAATAAATAACGAATTACCAATAAGCAATAATTACAATATTTTCAACGACAATCTACCAAAAGAGTTACTTAATTCCTCTCTTGTTCCTTAAGACGAATACAATACACTAGACACTTTTTTCCTTCTATTTTAGGGGGAAATTTGTATTGTGGTCCGTGATGTTAGTATTGAGCGTCCGATGGCAGGAGTCCATAGCAATGTGCCGGGGCTTGAGGCCTACGGTCCACGTCCCAGGGTCAGTACCGGTTATTTGACAAGTCCTGATCGTACTCCAATACCAGCCGTTTTATGTGCGACAGCTTGTCGTGGAGATAGTGAAACCTTCGCTTTAATTTCTGGTACTCCAGATCTTTCTTGTTTTCATTGTATTCCCTAACGATTTGCATTTTTAGGTCCTGAAACAACGACAAAACGAAATGTAACCACAATAAAATATGTAATTCCTAGACACATAACTTTACAATTATGGGAAAATTTATCCATTCGATAACGCATGTAAAATTCATATTTCTTATGCTCAACATAAATATTTAAAATTGATCGGATTTTGCCGAAAAACTAAAAGTTCTAGAGTTAAACGAACTATGCTCAATGCTTAAAAATACTAATTTGAATATCGAAATCACTTGAATTAGAGAATATAAAATTCGACTTACTTTAAACCTGGGACTAGAAGCGTCTTCTTGCTTAAGCATCGATTCAAAACTGACAAACCTCTTCGAAACCTTGTCCACAATTTCGCACAAGTTCTTGTATTCGGCGAAGTCGGCATTGAAATCGGCTTCGAACCTCCGCCTCTGCTCGGCATCCTTTATCCTGGTGTACTTCCTGCAATCATAGATAACCTGTTACATCATTTCAACAACCAAATTTGCGTGTTTCTTACGTTAAGTAATCCGGGAACTCCGAACTGCTGTCCACTGGCACCGGCAACACCGGGGCCCCGTTCGCGTACCCGCTGTCCGTCTTGCCCGTCTGCGGCGAGCCGTTCCTACAATCCCGCGAGTCGGTGACGAGCCGCCGCTGGCTGTTGTTCTCTACCGGTGAGCGGTAGGTGGTTTGTTCGGTGGGCTTCCGGTAATGGGAGATGCGTTGACGCTTGGTGGGGAAGCCGTCCGGGTTGTCGTAGTATCCGGGTCGCTTGAACGACGACGTCGTGATCGGCGGCAGAGAGCCGGGGTGGGTGCTGGTCGGGGACTGGCCGCTGCCGGAGCTGCCGCCATCGCTGCTGTCCGGAGAGGTGAGGTTCTGGGACTTACGTCTGCAGATAAACACATTGCCTTTAAGGCGCTCCATATTAAAAGGGGACACTCTGGAAACTGTGGGGGCCACTCTAGAAACTGTAGGGGACACTTTGGAAACTCTACGAGACATTTTGGCGTAAGATTTCAAAATCACTGCTAGGGAGGTCTATACCCTTTCGTAGTAGCAGGTGGAATAAAAATAAGTAAAAATAAAACCAAGAGTACGAAAGCTAATTAAGTGGTGGTACTGTGTTGAGCCCTGCATCCTCATTGGTTTAGATAAAGAGGTAGGGTGTTTTCAACACCCATTGGTTCAGATAAGGGGAGGCTGTTGTTAATTCCTCAATAAGTACTAATCCCTGCCCGGCGGTAAAACCAGGAGTACCATT